CTCTCTCTCTTTTTTTTTTTTTTTGGTATAAAATGGCATCATCTTTATTTTGCATACTTTGAAAACAAAATAAACAACAACAAAAAACACACAATACACAACAGCTAACACTATTCCTAATTAAGGGTGGGGGAGATGGCCTGAGGGCCTTACATCTATCTGCCTTACACACAAGGCCTAGGAAAGAAAATAACCACTAGGTATCAGCATATGGGGACTCCTGGTGTGGTACCATAGGAAAGCACTCAACCTCAAGGTCAGTTTGAACTGCAAGGTCAGTGGTTCAAACTCACCAGTCACCCCTCGGAAACCCTGTTCAGGATCACCATGAGTTGGAACCGACTTGATGGCACACAACATCAGCATATGGAGCCAAGTGGAACAGGGCCACTCCAGGCTTCTGTGGGAACTACAGGGACACTATACAGAGGACATAAGTTTTGTGGGCTTTATTGTTGTTGTTGTTAAATGCCATTGAGTTAGTTCCGACCCACAGAAACCCTGTATAGAATTTCTAAAGAACAACTGGTGAGCTTGAACCACTGACTGTGTGGCTCAAATGACTTTGCAGTCTAGCGCATTAACCCACAGCACCACACTAGGACTTAGGAGCCCCCGAATCCACTTCTTCCATGTGAGATGCACCCTCATCACCCTTAAGGTAAAAGGGATCTCATCAGGAATAGCAGAACTGGGTTCCTCAGCTGTCACATCATTCTCATCAATGCCTAAGCTCAGCCTGATTATGTGGTAGATGCGATTGGAGTGGGTCTGGGGATCCTCAAGGGAGAAAACAGAAGAGAGCAGTGCAGTTTCAAAGAGCAGGACCCACCAGGTCCTTGATGGCTTTTTGTTCTTGTCTGCTTCAGCCTTCTGCCTCAGTGTCTCTACAAAGGGGTGTCTGAGATGATCTCCAGGTGCTTTTTGGCCATCATTGTAGAGTTGTCCCAAAGTGCCTGGGCTTTCATGATCATGTTGGCTGTCCAGCCATACGTACTAGTCACAATGCAGCAGGGTGAAAACACGTTTATTGGAGATTGTCACCTTCTCAACTTTCTTATATAAGATTTCCTTCATGAGATTGCAGATGTTCTCAAACTTGACCTTGCTCTCTTCCATTTTCTTCTTCTCTTCATCCTCAGGTAGCTCTAGGCTCTCCTTGGCAACTGAGACCAGGCTTTTCCCATCAAACTCCTTGAGCTGTTTCACACAGTACTTGTCAATAGACTTGGTCATATATACAACCACAAAGCCCCACTTACGCACTCGCTCCATAAAAGCAGAGTTGGTTACCTGCTCTTTGCTCTCACCACTGATATAATAAATGGTCATATGGGTCTCCTTCATGCGAGAAACATGCTCTGAGAGAGAAGTCATTTCCTCTCCAGACCAGGGATGCATGATAGCACAGCAGCTCAGAAGGGTGTCGCCGATTAGTAGAGTCCTCATGGATTTCAAGCTTCAGGTTCTTAGAGAATACCTCATAGTATTTCTTATAGCTCTCTTTGTCTTTTGCCAACTCAGAAGAGCTCAAGGCACTTCTTGACAATGTTTTGTGGACAATCTTCAAGATTTTGCTCTGCTGGAACACTTCCTGGAGATGTTGAGGGGCAGGTCCTCAAAGTCAACCACACCACGGATGAAGTTGAGGTACTCTGGTATTAACTCATCACAGCTGTCCATAATGAACATGCGGCAGACATAAAGTTTAATGTTGTTCTTTTTCTCCTTGTTCTCAAAGAGGTCAAAGGGAGTCTGGCAGGAAATAAACAGCAATGACCTGAATTCCAACTAACCTTCTACAGAGAATTGCTTCACTTCCAAGTGGTCTTCCCAGTCATTTGTCAGGCTCTTGTAGAATTCCCCATATTCCTCCTGGGTGATGTCATCAGGATTTCAGGTCCAAATGGGCTTGATCTTGTTTAGTTCTTCCAGGTCAATGTATTTTTTAGTTTTCTTGTCCTTACCACTATCATCTTCCTTATTTGAGCCCATATCTTCAATCTTGGGCTTCTCTTCTTCTTTCTTACCTTTCTCTTCCTCATCATCACTGATTCCCTTGTCTTGGTCCTTCTCCAGATAAAGGGTGATGGGATAGTCTATGAACTGTGAGTACTTCTTCACTACTTCTTTGATTCGCCTCTCCTCTAGGTACTTTATCTGGTCTTCTTTAAGGTGCAGAATCACTTTGGTACCCCATCCAATGGGCTCGCAAAGGAACCCCCGGTAGAAGATTCTGACGATATTGCTCATCATCATTATGCTTTGTGATCACAACCACTTTCTCTGCCACCAAATAGGAAGAATAAAAGCCAACACCAAATTGCCTAATCATGGAAATGTCTGCATCAGCTTGCAGAGTCTCCATAAATGCTTTGGTACTTGGCAATGGTTCCCAGATTGTTTATGAAATCACCCTTGGCCATGCCAATGCCGGTATCCAACAGAGTCAGATTATGTTTCTGGGGGTTGGGATGATGTCAATTTTCAGCTCTTTACTGCTGTCCAACTTGGAAGGATTTGTCAGACTCTCATAGTGAATCTTGTCCAAGGCAACAGAAGCATTAGAGATCAACTCCTGGAGGAAAATTGCCTTGCTGAAATAGAAAGTATTGATGATGAGTGACATGAGTTGGGCAATCTTTGCCTGAAAGGCAAAGGTCTCCTCCTCTCCACGGTGCACTTCCTCGGGCATCCTGAAGGGGAAGGGCTGCAAGTAGCAAACAGTTGCGGGTAGGCGTTGAGTGCAGCTTGCATGAAGCTCGCGGGGGTGACTCCTCTATTATCTTTTAATTCCATTTTTCATGAACTTTTGTTTCCCTCATGAACTTTTTGAAGCCCCCTCAGACAGGGAGAGAGAGAAAAAACAAAACAAAAGAGGCACTAGCACTCTTACTACAGAGAAGCAAAGCACTTCTAGAATTTTCAAAATGGGAAACTACACAGTAAGGAAAACATCCAAAGCTGAAAGTGAGTAGAAGGGCCAACATGGTAATGGGGGCTCCAGGTGTGTGTCCCCAGAGGCCGCCCTGGTGCTGCCTTCCTAGCAGTGTGGCCTTGGGCAAACTACTTCTCCTCCCTGGCCTCGGTTTCCTCCTCTGTGAAACAGGAAAAATCATGGTTTCTCCTAACAGAGCTCCTGTGAGTGTGACTGTGAGCATGAATGGAATTGGAACCAAGCAAGAGATCAGTTCAGGTTAGGGACCCTTGTTAACAACAACCTCCACCAACCATAGTCTCCTGCACAGTGATATACACTTTCTCACCTACTATTCTCAAGTGAGCATTCTAGCTCACCGTGACTTATCCAGCTCCTGTCCAGTGGCACCTGGATTCTCGCTCTCCCCTCTCCCTAAAGACAGAAGAAAATGCATCCTTGTGGGAGCTACAAGCCTAGATGAATGGTGGGCTGAGACTTGAGACCCTGTCACTCTTAACAGTTAAGAGTAAAATTGTGGCCAGACTCTTTGGTTCTCTTTCTTCCTGAACAATATCTTAGAGAAGAATCTAGAAAAACCAGTTGAATTGCAGAAGCTCAGAGGTTCATCTCCCATGCCACTTAACCCAGCATGGGGGCAATAGTTGAATTCACAACTCTTGCCATGTCTGGAGCTTGAATACATTGCCTCAGGAACAGATACACCTCACCTATCTCCATCTCCACTGTCTAGGGTCCAACAACTGCTATGAGTATGGGGCAGATAAGAGCCCTACAGGATCAGGTGCTGGCCTCAGGACTCACATCTCTAAATGCAGAAGAGGCAACAGGGAGAACTTAGAACACACACAAAGCCTTCACTTTCTTGAATCCTGACCAGTGCCATATCTTGTACCCGGACCCCAGAGATATAAAAGAATAAGCACAGCAGGTAGGCTCAGCATTGGGGAGGGGCATGTTACATTACTCCTTCATAACCCTTCAGATGCCTCAATCATCTTCTCTGCAGGGAAGTGGCACCAGTTTGAGGAAGCCTGCCATGATGGGTAGTATGAGGAGGAGGGTTGAAGGCCCCTGCTGTCAGTATTCATAGGACTTACCCTACCACTCTGAGCAGCCCATAGGATTCTGGGTCTTCACATATCTGGCTCAAACCCAGAGTGGGACGAGGCAGAATATTTACAATCAGTGTCCCAAAGGATTGAACCCCCAGACCAAGATGGGAAGCTTTGGTAGGCTGGATCACTGGCTGAGTGTGTACAGAATATGGCACTTCCTTCCCGACTCCCAGACCCACTCCAATGCCGAGGTTCTGCCCACAGTTCTGATCAATGCACAGGTCTCTGTCCCAACCCAATGCTGAGTTCTCCTTTCGTCTGGGATTAATCTTCCAAGTGATATCAAACACAAACATGGCACCAATGTAAGAATTCCTTACTCTTTTAGGACTGAGAAGCAAGTTAGTACCTTCCTCAGACTCCATTTACAAGTTTATTTAAATATGAGACCTGGACAGAGTGGAGTCTATGGGTACTCAGAATGATCCTCATCCTCTAGCTGCTAAGAAAGGTGGCTGCTAAGGGCTCATAGCCACCCTTTCTCTAGAAAATGCCTCTGGTTGTCAGGAGTCCCCATGCCCAGAGAGCGATACCTGCAGCACCCTGGGTAGCCCAGTCAGTAACTGAGAAATACACTGGTATGAAGGCCACTCCCTTTATCTTCAAGGGACAGCTCTCTGGTAGAAACTCATCTTCTAGAGCCTGTATAACCAGCTGAGGTCACATCCTTACTTAGCACCTTCCCCTGTCCCATTCCTGCGTCCCTATCTACTTTTCTCCTTAGAACTCTCCCCCAATAAATCACAGGCCTTAGAATCTCTGTCCCAGGCTCTGCTTCTAGGGAACTCTACCTGAGACAATAGTATTGTACCACCAGCAACTTTCTTGTAACAGCAACCAAACCTACATTATATGGTCTGATTTTGTAAACAAAATCAACTAAGATGGTAGAGGTGTTGGAGGAAGAGATGAGGGTTATGTTCAAAGGAAATGGACAGACATACCTCACATCCATAGACTGAACTTCTTCAGTGGAGTCATCTAGACTGTTTGATTTGCCATTAAGGGCATCCAGATGAATAAATCCTGCAACTGGTTTAAGCCCATTAGCAAAAACATCTCCGGGAAAAGTTTCTGGGGCAGTGTGCCCTACACCATTCAATTTCTGGCAGGTGTTCAATCCATTTATATCTAATTGAGAACAACAAAGTCATTATGTTAATTACAAAATGTCCCAAAGAAATAAAGAGAAAAAAAAAAAATATATATATATATATATACATATGTGTTGTTATCGTTAAGTGCCGTCGAGGTGGTTCTGACTCATAGCAACGCTGTATAGGGTTTCTGAGGAGCGGCTGGTAAGTTTGAACCACCTACCTTGCAGTTAAACATTGCAGTCCAGAGCTTATCCTACAGTACCATACCAGGACTTCATAAATATATATACACTGAGGCAAAGATATAATGCAAAAGATTAATTGCCTCAATAAATATATATACACTGAAGCAATTAATCCTTTGTTTTACATCATTTACCAGAAAGCCCAGAAATAATCCATGTAATCCCCTACACATGGAGCTCTGGCAGCATAGTGGTTACGAATCAGGCTGCTAATCTCACGGTCAGCAGTTCGAAACTACCAGCTGTTCCGTGGGAGAAAGATGAGGCTTTCTGCTCCTGTAAAGATTTACAGCCTCAGAAATCCTGTACAGGGTCACTATGAATCGGAACCGACTCCACGACACATAACAACAACAGCAACAATCCCCTACACACGTAAGAAAGAAGACAAATTACTTTATCAGTGTCTGTGCAGGGTTCATGACACCCAAAAAGCTTCATGTTATAACATGGTCCAGTTTCCCAGGCTCTGGGTAGCATTTTCTTGAGCCACAAGAAAAAGGAGAAATACAAAGAATGACTTTAAGCTGGAGATGCTTCTCTTGACTTTGGCTACTACGGACTATTTCAAACCTAAGAAGATTAAAAAAGATCTAATAGAATATTCTAGAACACAGAAGTCTGGAAGATAGGAGAAACCTCCATAGAAGAACAGAGTGAAGTCTTAATAAACCTGTCCTGCAGGTAAGCTCCCTGGAAAACATCATGGGAAGACAAACAGTCCAGCTCCTGTGCTGGGACTCCTGGGGAAACTGATGAGCCCAAAGTTGGTGGTTTTCAAGATAAATCGGACAAACTCTGAGCTGCTGATAATCCTCCAGGGGAACAAGATTGTCCAATCCCATAGGAGCTCTGGTAGTGTAGTAGTTACGAATCGGGCTGCGAACCTCAGGGTTAGCAGTTCGAAACTACCAGCTGTTCCGTGGGAGAAAGATGAGGCTTTCTGCTCCCATAAAGATTTACAGCCTCGGAAACCCTGTACTCGCTATGAGTCGGAACCGACTCCAAGACACATAACAACAACAACAACAACATTCTTAAAACGGTAAGTAGTGCCCTCTGCAGGAAGCTTTAAATAAGCCCTCCCCAGCTGAAACCAAAACCAGGCCTCACACTCACCAATTTTGTTGGGGACAACTGGTTTTGTCTTACTTTCCACACACACAGTAGGAGGAATCCCCACCTTAGGCTCTTCTTTCTGAAAACAAATACAGGGTAGGTTTAAAGAGAGAAGGTTGACTTTACATTGAAAGATGAGAGCATTAAGAGCACAGAGGATAGCTGGAATCTTGCTGGGTTATTTGCATGTTCATTCTGTGAATTTTCTAAGCTTCTTACAAATCAGCTATTCTTCTCTTATTATCATATCACCATCCTTTTTTTTAATTCATGGATTACTGTGCCTTTGGAGTCCTACTGTGGTGCTGTGGGTTAATACTCTGGACTGCAAGGTTGGTGTGACCCACAAGGTCGGGAGTTTAAGCTCACCAGCCGCTCCTCGGAAACCCTATATAGGGTAGCTATGGGTTGGAACAGACGCGATGGCACTTAATGACAACAACAACTGTGCCCTTTATAAGGAGCTCTGGTGGCACAACAAAAGTCAAGCACTTTGTTCGAACCAACCAAGTGGTTTACAGGAGAAAGACTCTATGGGGCAATTCTACTCTGTCACATGGCTTCACTGCGAAATGAAATTGACCTAACAACTATAACACAATGCCTTTGCCCACATCTCATTTACCCTTTCTCATTAAGGAGATCTTTTATCCACAAAAAAGTTACCAACACCTCATCTCTGAAATCCCTCTGTTAAGACTCCTCTCTGAGGCACCTTATGGTGGCCTCATGTGTCAGAATAGAACTGTGCTCTACAGAGTTTTCAATGATTGATTTTTTGGGAAGCAGATTGCCAGGACTTTCTTCTGAAGCTTGTCTAGGTAGACTTGAACCTTCAAAATTTGGTTAGCAGCCGAGTGCACCTCCTTTATCTAGCCAGAAACAAAGCAGGGAGAACCCTTCTTTTCTGGTAATCCTCTCCAAGACCTACAATTTCCTAGAGTATAGTTTGCCATTGTTTTCTACTGAGTACATAAACTATTAAAAGGGTAACCTGAATTTCCTACCTTCACTTCTGGAGAGACTTCACTCTTTCTTGTTCTCTTCATTATTTCATCTATTCTCTGAAAACCAATAAGAATAAAGTAGAAATCACCAAGACCCAAAACATATAAAACTAGCTGGGTCTATATGCAGTTGCACATTTCTCAGAAAAGTACTAAAAGACAAATGCTAGCAGACTATTATGAGTATAGAAAGGTCTTCCACTGGTTTGTCCAATGTACACCTCTGGCTCTGTGAATAAGAGCAAATGCTTGAGAAGCTGACTAGTAGCATCTAGAATCAACACTCAAATTATATCCTTAGTTTATCTCTAGTTCAACAAATCACCACCCGCCTCTTAAGAGGATTGGCCACCTTTTACAAAGTGACACTGGGGTGTAGGTCATGAGAAAAGGCACACATTAGGCTCTCAGCTCCCAGGTCTTATATAGTAATATAAAGCCCAGGCTGGACCTAGGGTACCATTAGAATGGAGCTTTATAATCAGTCTCCATAATCCAACTCTACCCATAATCACTTTTAAATGAAAATGGCCTAGACACTCTACTTAAAAGACAAAGACCACCAAACTATATTAAAAACAGACAAATAAAAAACCTGACTACGTGCTGTTTATAAAAGAAATATTAAGTGGCGCTATGGATTAATGCGCTGGACCCCAAGGTCAGTTTGAACTGCAAGGTAGGCAGTTCAAGCTCACCAGCTGCTCCTCAGAAACTTTATACAAGGTCGCTATGAGTCGCAACCAAATTGAAGCCACTTAACAACACCATAAGGACAAACAGATTAAAAGTAAAATGAGGAGAAAAGATTTACTGCACACATTCTAATCATAATAATGCTGACAAAGGAAACTTTAAGATGAGAAATATTACTACAAATAAAGAAGGGCATTTCATAATGATAAAAAGAGGTTATTTCAATATGAAAATTTAACAATCTGATATGTAAATTCATCTAATGTTGTTGTTGTTGTTAGGTGCCATCAAATCAGTTCCGACTCATAGTGACCCTATGCATAATAGAACAAAACACTGCCCAGTCCTGGGCCAACCTCACAATCATTGCTACGCCTGAGCCCATCGCTGCTGCCACTGTGCCAATCCATCTCCTTGGTGGTTTTTCCCTTTTTCCTGCAACCCTCCGCTTTACCAACATGATATCCTTCGACAATATGTTTGAAGTATGAGAGCTGAAGTTTGGCCATCCTGGCTTCCAAGGAGCACACTGACTGTACTTTTTCCAATACAGATCTGTTTGTTATTTTGGCAGAACATGGTACTTTCAATATTCTCCTCCAACACCACAACTCAAAGGCATCAGTTCTTCGATCGTCTTCCTTATTCACTGTCCAGCTTTCGCATACATATGAGATTATTGAAAACACCATGGCTTGGGTCAGGCACACCTTAGTCCTCAAGCTGACATCTTTGCTCTGCAACACTTTAAAGAGGTCTTGTGCAGCAGATTTACCTAATGCAATTTCCTGTTTGATTTCTTGACTGCTGCTTCCATGAGTGTTGATGGTTGATCAAGCAAAATGAAGTCTTTGAAAACATCAATCTTTTCTCCATTGATATGGATGTTGTTTATTGGTCCAGTGGTGAGGATTGTTGTTTCCTTTGCACTGAGATGCAACCCATACCGAAGGCTGTGCTCTTTGATCTTCATCAGTGAATATTTTAAGTCCATTTCACTTTCAGCAAGCAAGGTTGTACCATCTGCATATCGTAGGTTGTTAGTGAGTCGTACTCTAATCCTGATGCCATGGTTTTCACCTAACATTAGGGATTTCAAAATATAAAGCAAAAGTAGACAGAACTAAAAGGAACAGTAGACAAATCCATAATCACAGGTATAACTTCTAACATTTTGTTTTTAGCAATTAATAAGAAAAATGACAAAATAAAGCTATACAAGATTTGAACAATACTGTCAGTAAACTCAGAGTCCTAGAGTGGCACTGTAGGATAAGCACTGGACTGCTAACTGCAAGGTCGGTGGTTCAAACTCACTAGCCACTCCTCTGAAACCCTGTATAGGGTTGTTATGAGTTGGAACCGACTTGAAGACACTTAACAGCAACACCAATAAACTTCCACCACTTGCCTGTCAGTTGGTTGTACTGTGGTGGCTTGAGTGTTGCTGTGATGCCGGAGTCTGTGCCACCATTATTTTAACTACCAGCAGGGTCACCCATGGTGGACAGGTTTCAAAGGAATTTCCAGACTAAGACACACTAGGAAGGAGGAGAGGTGGGTCACTTCTGAATGTTTAGCCACTGAAAACCTCATGAATATCAGTGGGACATTGTGAGATAGAGTGCGGGAAGATGAGCTACACAGGCACTCAAAACATGACTTGGGGAAGAACTGCTTCCTCAAAGTAGAGTCGACAAGGACAATGCAAATGGAGTAAAGCTTTTGGGCCCTTCATTTGCTGATGGCGCACAACCCAAAACGAGGAGAAACAGCTGCAAAGAGCTATTAATAACCAACCAGAACATGGTATATACAAAGTATGAATCTAGGAAAATTAAAAGTTGTCAAAAATGAAATGGAATGCATGAATATCAATATCTTAGGCACAAGTGAGATGAAATGGACTAGTATTGGCCATTTAAAATCTGATAATCATATGGTTTACTATATTGAGAAGAATATATCAAAGAGGAATGGTGATGCATTCATCATCAAAAATAATATTTCAAGATGTATCTTGAAGTACAATGCTATCTGTAATAGGATAAAATCCATACAAGGAAGAACACTATTATTTAAATTTACACACCAACTAATAAAGCCAGAAGGAGCCCTGGTAGCTTAGTGGTTACGAATTGGGCTGCTAACCTCAAGGTCAGCAGTTCAAAACTACCAGCTGTTCCATGGGAGAAAGATGAGGCTTTCTGCTCCCGTAAAGATTTACAGCCTCGGAAACCCCGTGCTGGGTCACTATGAGTCGGAACCGACTCCGTGGTACTTAACGACAACAACAATAAAGCCAGTGATGATGAAATTGAAGAATTCTACCATCTTCTTCAGTCTGAAATTGATCAAACATGTAATCAAGTTGCACTGATCATTACTGGTGATTGGAATGCAAAAGTTGGAAACAAAGAGCAAGGATCAATAGTTGGGAAATATGGCCTTGGAGATAGAAACTATGCTGGACTGCATGATAGAATTTTGCAAAACCAATGACCAATGCAAATAGTTTTTCTCAACAACATAAAAGGTGACTTGGAAGAGAGCCACATTTGTGTCCATTCCACAGAAGAGTGACCTAATATAGTGTGGAAATTGTTGAACAATATCATGAATATCATATGCCAAGTAAAATTTTGCCGAAGACAAAATACACAAGGACCTCGTGAGATGAATTACACAGGAATCAAATTTATTACATCTGTGGAAGGAAACAATGGTGATGGCTCAATACCATCAGCAAAAACAAGAGCAGAAGCAGACTCTGGAACAGATCATCAATTAATCATAAGCAAGTTCAGCTGAAGCTGAAGAGAATTAAAACAAGTTCATGAGAGCCAAAATATCACTTTGAATATAGCTCACCTGCATTTAGAGACCATCTCAAGAACAGATTTGATGCATTAGACATTAATGACTGAAGACAAGAGGAGTTGTGGGATGACATCAAGAATATCATACATGAAGAAAGCAAATGTTCATTAAAAATACAGGAAAAAGGAAAAGACCAAAGTGAATGTCAGAAGAGACTCTGAAACTTGCTTTTGAGAGAGGAGAAACTAAAACAACTGGAAGAAATGATGACGTAAAAGAGTTGAACAGAAAATTTCAAAAGACAGTCAAGAAGACAAAGACAAATATTATAATGAAATGTGCAAAGATATGGAGGTAGAAAACCAAAAGGGAAGAATAATCTCTGTATTTCTCAAGGAGAAAGAACTGGAAAAAAAAAAAAAAATCCACGCCTCAGGTTTCAATACTGAAGGATTCTATGGGCAAAATATTGAATGGCTGGAAACATCAAAAGAAGATGGAAAGAATGAATACACAGAATCACTGTACCAAAAAGAATTGGTTGATGTTCAGTTATTTCAAGAGCTACCATATGATCAAGAACCAACGGCAATAAAGAACAAAGTCCAAGAACAAAGTCCAAGCAACACTGAAGGCATTGGTGAAAAACAAGGTTCCAGGAATTGATAGAATACAAACTGAAATGTTTCAACAAACTAATACAGCACTAGCGGCGCCCACTGGTATATGTCAAGAAATTGGAAGAGATCCGTATTTGGGTTAATTCCACAGAAAGATGACACAATGTAATGTGGAAATAACTGAACAGTATCAGTAATTTCACATGCAAGTAAAATTTTGCAGAAGATAATGTAAAAAATATTGCAGCAGTACATCAAAAATGAGCTTTCAGAAATTTAAGTCACATTCAGAAGAGGATGTGTAATGAGAGATATCATTGCTGACATCAGATGGATCTTGCCTAAAAGCAGAGAATATCAGAAAGATGTTTACTTGTGCTTTATTCGTTATAATAAATATCCAGCCCACAGACTGCATAAGGCCCACGAAATCAATTGGTCTGGCCTTGCCAAGGTAACCTCAGTTCCAGCCATTGCATTGTTGTGCATATAAACCCAGCTACTTTTGTATGTTTTGGGTCTTGGTGATTTCTACTTTATTCTTTTTGGTTTTCAGAGAATAGATGAAATAATGAAGAGAACAAGAAAGAGTGAAGTCTCTCCAGAAGTGAAGGTAGGAAATTCAGGTTACCCTTTTAATAGTTTATGTACTCAGTAGAAAACAATGGCAGAATATACTCTGAGAAATTGTAGGTCTTAGAGAGGATTACCAGAAAAGAAGGATTCTCCCTGCTTTGTTCCTGGCTAGATAAAGGAGGTGCAAAGAGTTAACACACTCGACTGCTAACCAAATTTGAAGGTTCAAATCTACCCAGACAAGCTTCAGAAGAAAGTGCCGACAAGTCGGTGGTTCAAACTGACCTTGAGGTCCAGCGCATTATCCTGCAGTGCCACACCAGGACTCCAACCATCACATTGTTGGTGGGTGCCCTAGAGACGGTTCGAACTCACTGCAACCCTATATAGGGTTTCTGAGAAGCAGCGGATGGGTTTGAACTGCCAACCTTGTGGTTCGCAGTCCAGTGCTGATCCACAGCATCACACCATCACATTTAATTAAAGGTTTCACCAAATATAGCAGGCCATTTTTTAAAAGTTTTTATTGTGAATTGAGTGATAGTTTACATGGGGGAACATCAGTTTGTTTCATTGCAATGATTACAATCCCCTACATCATTCAACATTATTTTTGCTTCTATTCCCTCTGAAGTTTTTTTTGGATGTGCACCAAAACACTCAGGAATATACAATCATTGCAAGCCTGCCCCCTGGCCACCAGCACACATCCCCTCTCCCTCCATGAGTCTAGAGTCCTCAGCTGCTCCATGTCTCTGTCTCTTGACATTTCCTCTGTCTCTCCATGTCATCATCTCTGCCTCCATCTCTGGTGTCGCTGCTTCTCTGGTTAGGGTCCCACATTCCATTCCTGCTCTTCTCCCTTGATAGTCCCAGGGTCCTCCATGCCGGGACTGTTAGATCGACCACTTATTCCTTTTTGCTACAAAACTTCTACCTTTACAGTTGCTACAATCGCAATTAGTCATGATAACAATTACTCACTATTGAATCATGACAGTCTTGTTCCCCATCTCCTTTCACCAGACCTCTCTAGACAGGATGAAAACCACTCAGTGGGGATTCTACCTTCCCCCGCACTCTCGGAATCTAAACTCCCTCTTGAAAATTTGTAAAGCCAGTCACTTCGTGCCTTTAAAGGCCCCTCATTTTAGGTGGCCAGTGTCTAAGTTGCCTATCCCTATCAACCTTGTGTACAGAGGGGATGGGAATGACTGTTGCTATAAAGATTCTTTTCCTCGTGGTTGGTATTTTAAGCTACTACATCAATAAGTGTAGGTCAAGTTCATCATACTGTAGTGCTTTATACTTGTTTTCTTTTTTAAAAAAAAAAGAGAAAGAGAGAGAGACTTCCCCCACCCCCTTTCCTTCCTCTAGTCGGGTTTTGAACATTCAGCCATTGACGTTAGGTCCAATGGGCATTAACATAGCAAGCTAATTTTTAAGTTGATAATTTTGTATGGCCCACAGATGATGTTAAGAATATCCAGATTGCCCTTGGTGTAGATCATTATAACTATGGATAATCTGGCGAAGATCGGGTATTCCAGAACACTTAATTGTGCTCATAGGGAACCTGTACATAGACCAACAGGCAGTTAGTTGTTTGAAAAGAACCAGGGGATACTGAAGAGTTTAAAATCAGGAAAGGTGTGAGTCAGGGTTGTATCCTTTTGCTATACTTATTCAATCTGTATGCTGAGCAAATAATCCAAGAAAATGGATTATATGAAGAAGAACGTGGCATTAGGATTGGAGGAAGACTCATCAACAACCTGAGATGTGCAGATGATACAACCTTGCTTGCTGGAAGCAAAGAGAACTTTAAATATTGATGAAGATCAAAGAATACTGTCTTTAGTATGGATTGTACCTCAATGTAAAGAAAACAAAAATCTTCATAACTGGACCAATAAATAACATCATGATAAATGGAGAAGAGATTAAAGTTGTCAAAAACTTCAATTTGGTTGGATCCACAATTATTATTCAGAGAAACAGCAGTCAAGAAATCAAATGACAAATTGCATTAGGCAAAACTAATGCAAAAACCATCTTTTAAAGCATTCCAGAGCAAAGATATCAATAAGAGGACTAAATTTTGCCTGACCCAAGCCATGGTAGTTTCAATTGCCTCATGAGCATGTGAAAGTTGCACATGAATAAAGGAGACTGTAAAAGAGTCAGTGCATTTGAATTATGGTGTTGGTGAAGAAAATTGAAAGTACCATGGACTTCCAGAAAAAAAACAAATAAATCTATGTTGGAAGAAGTACAACCAGAATACTCCTTAAAAGTGAGGATGGTTGAGATTTTGTTTCTCGTACTTTGGACATATCATCAGGAGGGACCAGTCCCTGGAGAAAGACATCATGCTTGGAAAAGTAGAGAACCAGGGAAAAAGAGGAAGCCCCCCTCCCCAACAAGATAGACTGACACAGAGACAGCAACAATGGGCTCAAACAAAACAATTGTGAGGATAGTGCAGGACTGGCAGTGTTTTGTTCTGTTGTGCACAGGGACACTATGAGTTGGAACTAACTCAACAGCACCTAACAACAACAACAATCAATAAAATTGACCCAACAATTGCAAATAGAACTGGACTCACTTCCTGCACCTGCCTTGTCCTAAGTCCTTCTGATCCCTCAGCCTTTACCTTCTTCCTCTCCAGGCGCTCCTGCTCAATCTGCAGCATGATCTGTTCTCTTTCTAGACGCAATTGCTTAGCGGCTTCTTGGGCCTTTGCTTCTGCTACTTCTTTCTAATAGAAACAGGTAAACCAAGGCATAGGCTTTATTCAGCTCAGAAAACACTGTAGTACTTCCCTGGGGTTGCACATGTTTCTTCAACTCATTACCTACCTTTCTCCATATGGGTGTTTTCCCATTATTCAATGTAGATTTACATAAGCTGCTCTATAATGCAGCAGATATGGCTGGTGCCCCCCCGTCAATAAACTCTTGGTTCACTGTGCAAATTACCTGACGCCAGTTCTCATATGCAACCAAGGTCTTCCTGTATCTGAAAGCAGTCTCATGCCAGGGAATTTTCATGTGGCTGCAAGTATCAGGAAGTTAACTCCCTCTCCCATGCCCCGCGCCCCTGGAGTGACCCTAAACAATGAAGGGCAAGGGTTGGTGGATAAATATCCTAGCATCCTTCATCCCTCTGAGAGCTAATTCTAAGGCATGTTCTATATTTTTCAGAGGGTTCCAGTGGCCCACAGTTTGCCAATCAACATGTTCTTCACTGCCTTTCCTCTAACTCCACAACTAGTTTCCTGGGATTCCCTCCCAAATAAGCTACTTTTACCTGAACTGTGTCCCAGAGACTGTCTTTGGGGGAACCTAAGCTGATATATAGAGTCCTGGTATGGCACTGTGGATTAATGCGCCAGACTGCAAAGCCATTTGAACTGCAAGGTCGGCAGTTCAAGCTCACCAGCTGCTCCTCGGAAACCCTATACAGGGTTGCTATGGGTCGGAACCGACTTGACGGCACTAAACAACAAGTTGATATATGGCAAACATAATAAGTTTAACTTTTGTTCCCCAAAGCAATTTATACTCCTAACCAACCAGCCCAGGCAGTTAAAAATTTTTCCAGAGTCATTCAAATTTAACTAATTTTATCTAATATCAACTAAAGCCCTTAACACACTAGGAAAGTCTTTCTTAGGATTTTACTGTACCTGTTTCTCGATCATGGCCTTTTCTTGCTTTTCTTTCAACAACTGCTCTTCCTCAGCCTTCTGCTTTGCCTCCTTTTCTGCCTTTTTTTTATCTTCCTCTTCTTGTCGCTTCCTTTCCTCTTCCTGTTTACAGGTTTTTTCTTCTAGACGAAGTCTTTCTTCCTCCACCTTTCTTTTCAATTCCTCTTCCTCCAGCCTTTTGAGGACAGAATTGTTGTTAGGAGAAGATAACGCTCAAAAGGCAAACTGTCAACGAACTGCTGTGCGCTGACAGCAGAGCAATGCTAAACATATGAACAAGCCCATACACTGAAATTAGTATGTTGTTGTTGTTAAGTTGTTAAGTGCCGTCGAGTCGGTTCCGACCCATAGCGACCCTGTATAGGGTTTCCGAGGGTAGGAATTAGTATGCACGGACTGAAATGACTTCTTCGTCCCGGAAATCCACTCAATCTACAGTCTGTGTATTCACCAAAAGAATTTTTTAAATGAAAAAAAAAAAAAAAAAGGTAACCAGAGTTGATTTTCAATTCTATAAGATGTAGATGTTGCCCAATCAACCTACAAAGGACCACAATTAGATTGTAAGTTAATCTCATCATTTGTATTTAAAGACAATTCTTTAAAAAAATTAAGCAGAATATTTAAAATCAATGTAAGCTAGGATCCTCATAGTGTTTCAAGAGCCAGTCAGCAATTTAAGAGAGATTATTATGAGTTCAAAGAATTCACTTAGGGTTCTAATTGGTATGTGATTTCTGAAGCAGTAAATGGAATATGCTCAAAAGAAATTTGACATTTAATATAGAAACTAAATAAAAAACACCCATTTTTCTAATCTTTAAAAAATACATTTTAGTTTTTATTCTTTGAAATATCAAAATTCAATGGCATATAAACATCTTTCATCCACAGATGAATGGTTCATGATGTAATGATAAGGAGTTCTAAGCAGTAGGGAAATGCTGTAGTCTCAGTTTTCTTTTTTTTAACGTTTGTAACGTTCTTTCTTCTCACATGTGTGTCACTTTCCTCATTTACAGAAAATGTGGAGAGTCACACTTACCTTGATGAGTGTTGTTGTTGTTAGGTGCCATCGAGTCGGTACCAACCCACAGCGACCTTATGCACAGCAGAAAGAAACACTGCCTGATCCTGGGCCAACCTCACTACTGTTGTCACGCTTGAGTCCATCAATGCTGCCACTTGGCCAATCCATCTCATTCAGGTCTTCCTTTTTCTCTGACCCTCCAACCTACCAAACATGATATCCTTTCTCCAGTGACTGGTCGCTCCTGATAATATGGCCGAAGTATGAGAGATGAAGTTTGGCCATCTTGGCCTCCAATGAGCACCCTGGCTGCAGTTCTTCCAGCACAGATATATTGCTTCTTTTGGCAGCCCAGGGCACTTTCAATATTCTCCTCCAAAACCATAACTCAAAAGCATCAATTCTTCTAGGGTCTTCCTTATTCACTGTCCAGCTTTCGCATGCATATGAGGTTACTGAAAATACCATGGCTTGGGTGAGGCTC